CTTAAAGGGGAATTATCGATTGACACCTACTCATCATTCTTACAACTAGATCAGATCAGATTTGCATTCGAGATTCCATTTGGTTTAATATAATTTCGTGCCATTTATTTCATTTTTTCAAAATCTGATTAATTCTTCGTACCAACGTTGCAGATGAAATAACCGTTGACAACTGTTAACTAGGAAAATTTCAGAACGCACGTTGGAAACGTGTAACGAAACAAGCGTTTGTCTAGGGTTGGAAAGCTAGCCCGAGTGACCGTATTGCGAGGGTGAGAATGGCTTCAGCTTGGAGTTCAGAGAATCGTCGTCGTCGTGGAACTTTCAGCCGTGTTTACGTATAGAAACGTTGTCGCGATTCTATGGCACGGTAACAAGTTCAAGGGAGGTTCAACTGTGTACAACAGCCTAGAAGCCACGAACTTGATTCGAGAAAGGAGGATTGAAGTCACAGAAACCTACGTAGAGAGTTAACGGGTCAAATACATTCGTTTAACGAGTGGAGTGATAAAACAAAGAAACGTGTAAAAATTGCATTGTGAAAATTGAATTATCCGCTGGCGATGTCGTTTAACCTCTTGATCAATCAAACTTGTGTCTCGCGTGGACCATAATTCGTGTATTTATTCTCATGGTAAATTTTGATGAAACGAAACACTTCCCATTGTGAATACATTAATATACGGGCATTCCACCATTTTGAAAATTTTTGATATTCGTGTTCCTAACGGTCTGAAATAAAAAAGAGACAAAATGGCATTGCTACATCTGTATGATGTTCAATTATAATTTGACTTATTTCTCAACGTGTATCATATATAATTAAACGTTGAACATTTTCGTAGTAATCCGAAAATATTATTTAAAAATGTGTTATATTATTTATTTTTATTTATTTATGTGAACTGTCCATTGTAGTATAATCAGGACTACAATTTTTCGAGTACAAATTCAGATTCACAACGATTTTAAAACACAAAGTGTCACGGAAGATCATCACATAAGTTTCAAAGGATTTCATTGACGCAGAAAAAAATCCATTACATATCTTTTTTATTAATTTATCAATGGAGTCTGTATGTGCTAAGTTAATTTTGCAGATGTATCGAAAAGTGAAGAATCGTTCTAAAAAGAAATCGAAATTAAGGTTAATTGAATCGAGTTCGTTAGAACAATGAAAACATCAACGAGACTATAATGTTTAAGAAAGTGCAACTGAAGAAATCTTATAATCTTATTGACCACGATCAATTGTTTCCATTGGATTTCGATTTTCAAATGAATATTATTAAAATCTTATATTGCATACTTTCACTTATTTGATATAGAGGCCTGTTCTCTAAAAAGTAACGCTGAGAAATGATTGTTGCTCGTTCGTACAAATAAAAAAAAAAAAAAAAAAAAAGGAAAAAAGAACGAACATAAAAGGGATTAAATATACAAACCTATTAAACATGCGTCATCAATGTAAGCAACAATCGACCGTGTCAAAATGTGTAACGTCGTATGACAACGATCGTCGATTTTCATTCGTTTGACAATGAATAATGGAACAAAGACGACCATTCGCGGCCATATTGGCGTTAAATTATACTTATTACACGGCAACACGTCACGTGGCAGCTTTATCATCGTTTCAATGTTCGCGCGAGGAAATCATTGTCAAATGGTAATATCCACCAACTGCTTATCATTCGTCACGCGAAATATTCCTATGAAACAGTTGAGTGATGTTATCAGTTGTCTCTTTGATCTGCATGCTTACTGACGACGCCGACATCAGTGACTCACTTTTAAGCTCGTCAGTTTGCAACAGATGTTCGCCAGTTCGAACTGGTTGTTGGAATTGATTTTAGAGAAAATTTAGAGATAAAAGTATTTGAAACAGAAGCAGAGCATAGAAGAGAGAAGAGTATAAGTTACAATTAGACTGCGAATTTCTATGCACTTACGGGAAATTTCAAGACACAAAGATACGTGTACATTACATTGTGTATATAATAAATGTAAAATATGCAAATACTTGAATAAATATTCAAACATTTATAACATGATATCGAAATATTCTTGGTCTAATTATAATCTGCATACGTGATACACGTAAATTTATCATGTAAATTAATATAATCTTTCCAGTATCTTTTTAAAAAGTATCGTTGCTTCGAGGAAACCGCCTCTGCATATTCATTTTTAAATACAGCGTACCAGAAATAGAAAGCCAACACCAGTAAATCAAGTGACTCGTCAACTGATTGACTGTTCGTAAATCGCTAAAAAAAAAAAAAAAAAAAAAA